TAAGGGTCGCTCTTTATACTATAGAATCTGCATGCTTCATCACCTGATACACACGTGTTATTTCAAATCCATTTACTGACCTGTTGAAATATACGAACTTATTCTTTGCATTCTATATTTACACTTGCTTCCATGCACCAAGTGTTCGTACTTCGAGTGCGACGTTTGTATTTCTACCCATTCTAGAAGCCCTCTAACTTCATTCATTTCGTACTATTCAAACAAGGTCAAATAATGATTTTTCTGCAATTTTTGTGTAAGTATGAAATATTGTTGCTGAGGATAAGAGGATACCGATGAGAGGAGTAACAATACCAAGAAACACCTAGATCTTAAGGAAAAAAGCTGAAGTTCTAGGGCAGAAACACCGTGAGGAAATAAGGTTGAGGTTCCCAAGGAAAAAAGTTGAAGTTTCCCTGAAAAAGAAAACAATTTCCTAACGAGAAAAGCTGAAGAAACACCGTGTTCTTGAGGGAAAATGATGAAGTTCTCGGGAAGCAACACCAAAAAATTTCTTAAAGAAGAAACGCCATGTTCTTGGTATTGTTGCTTCCCTCATCGGCACCCTCTTATTCTCATCAACTATGTTTGATACTGAGAGAAAAATTGAAAAAAACTCATTATTTGATGTTTTTTGAATAGTACACAATGAATGAAGTTAGAGAGCTTCTAGAATATAGGATAGAAATACAAGCGTCGTACTCGAAGTACGAACATTTGGCACGTGCAAGCCAGTATAAATATAGAATGCAAAGAATAAATTTGTATATTTCAACAATAACAACCAGAGTCAGTAAATGGATTTGCCAACAACACGTGAGTGTCTCGGGAAGAAAAAACGGAAGCGTATCAAGAATTGTTGGGTTAGTCTCAATCAAAACCTTAGTCTGTTTTAACTTCTCTCAACATGAACTCTAATTGAATAACGTGATATGTGTTGATGAATTACTCGATCTTTGCTACTTTTGCTGACAAAATAGAATTTGAATTTTACATATTATATCCCCCTATTATATATAATAAGTGGTACACCTAGTTTTGGACATTTAGTTATCTAAAGTATGAAATTTATATCCCATATTTATACCATAAGTACTATGTGGCAGTGCCTAACTATACATCACATACACGATCTTGAACTGCAATAATTTGTTTAAAAAAGGGAATATGTTTAATGCACTATTGTGAGTTTGTAAAGGAAACTCTTTCCGTGTTCATCTTTTTCTTTTATTTTTCTGTCTGTTATCCAGTAATATTATTGTTTAGTTAATATATGATAGGAACAACATCTTTTAGCGTCGTCTACATATTGTATGATTGGTTTTGGGAGGGGGTAGATTAAAAGATATTTATATCAATAGACACAGGTACGGTCATCATGAACTTAATGCTATAGAATAAATTTGGGACTGAATGACCCGGTACACACAATCTCGTCAATCGAGATCACAACAGCAGAATTTGGTTGTAGAATTGTTGCAGAATTGTTTGGATTAGAAAATTCGGTAAGAGAAACCTGGCAATGAATCCTATCACTGACACGTAGGGCAACATACAACATATTCGTACTATTGTCCAACAAATTATTATTGCTCAAGGCTGGGATTTTGATGCTTACTTAGAGAGAATAGTACAATAGTACATTAAACATATTCCCTTTTTTCTTTAACAAATTATTGCAGATCAAGATCGTGTATGTGATGTATAGATAGGCACTGCCACATAGTACTTATGGTATAAATATGGGATATATGATTCTGATTATCTACCATGTTTTAGTTTTTTGGTAGACAACAATAAATCTTTGAAAAACTTTCTGCAAGATGCTAATAATTCTTGGAACCTGTCTTTTGAGGAAGATAATGATGGGGGAAAACAATAACAGAAACCATTGAAAAACAAAATTACTTAACTACATCAGCTCTTAATCGACACCCGTGCTAACCAAGCAAGAGAAATTGGATGCTGATATGATCTCAGAAATACTTGGAAACATTCATTACGATCCAGTAGGATTCATCGAAATCTGACGGAATGGGGGATCCGCTTTTTCCCTCTTAGGTCAAATTGACTACTCCAAATATTAATTTTTGTTATTTGGAGACGGGAGAGGGGGAAAGGAGAAGTTTATAGGAATACGATGAAAAACGACATTGTATGCGACCGTGTAGGACGGTTTACGGTGATCGTTTCGAAATGATCACCGTAAACCGTCCTACACTTTACCAGTAAGAAAAAGTGCTTTGACGCTTATTTATTATAAAGGATCATTTTTTCGTAAAAACAAGTAACTCTTTAAAGAGAAAAGTCACTTTTGGACAGAAAAACTGCTAGAAAAGATTCATTCATTATTACTTTTTTATGGTCATTTTTTACTATTTATGATAATAAACGGTTAGTTTTTGCCTACTTTTTTCCCTATATAAGCGGTAAACACCAAAAAGTGAGAAAAGTGCGAAACAGTGCAAAGAATTATTTCAGACTATAATGAAATATAGACATGTATAAATATATCGAGAAATGTCTTGAAATTTACTTGTAAAGAAAAGTTATTGTCGAATCAACAAATTAATAGACATTTTTATCGTCTTTGCGACTTGTCTGGATAACTCGAAAGAGTCGATGATGTAATATATGGATATGTTGTTCAGTAAATAACCAACAAGCCGATTGCTTACACATATATTTCTGAACACCATCAATTTCCACGTTGAGATAAGAGTCTTCTTAACATAGCTTGTCAATTTGAAGCAGTAGGAAAAAGTTAAGGCGACACAGTGCTGATAAATACATAGAAATAGAGAAAAGTACCGAGAATATATCAGGACTAGAGCCTGAGATTGTGATTTTGTCGCGACTGACATTTTCCAAAGTGCAACTATGAAGAAGAGTTTTCGAATTGTTTAAGAATATGTACATTTTTGTTCACCTTTCCTGTTGCCACGAGATAGCACATCAATAGTAAATTTTTGGTGTAACTTGGCTGAGAAAGTCGCTTCATAACCATTCGGTCACAGTCAGTTACGATAAATCGAGATGGAACGATCATAAAGCGATTTTATGAGTCAAGTTACATAGAAAACCTGCGTTTGATACACTGTTAACAAATGCGTATTCTTAAACAATTTGGCAATTATTCTCATAACTGGAGTCCGAAAAATATTCAGTCACGCCACAGTCACAATACTGAACCCAATTGAGAAAAACAAAAGCCTGCTTTTCCTTTGAAACAACTGCCGTGAATGGCCGGTGCTTACCGTCGTAATTGACTACTATACGGTCATTTACAATCAAGCTAGATTGACTTAGATGTACCAGTTTGTCAACATATTACCTACTGTTAATGAATCTCGGATGCAAGATGAGTGATCGACTGCACACGCTATGACGCCCTTGCAGCTGTCTGTCTGATGATGATGAATGCAAGATGGTAGTCCAGACATAGCGCAGTAAGTGTAGAACACTAATAAAGAACGATGGACTAAGAAGAGGATGGAATTTCGACCTACGGATTTTTTTATCCCAGACTTTTGGTTCAACCAGAAATTTCGAACTTTCAGCTTAGGTGCAGAATCAAAACATATATATACCAAACTTGAAACTTGAATTCAAGTATTCAATTATTCAGTTATTCAACTATTCAGGTATTCAATTATTGAATCAGCAAGGGTAGTCAGGAAGCGGTGTCGCAAAGTGAGAGTGCTTAACGTATCCTTGACTGAAAGGGTTTTCGAAGGGTGCTGGACGGTATAATTGGATGCTTGAATAGTTGAATACATGTATGCAAGTTTCAAGTTTGACAATACTAAATCACAATTAAACTAATTAATTTTATTGTTATTTAATAAACTTCATAGCGCTGAGCACTATGCATTTTTATTGAAAAGTCCTGTTCAGCAGGGCAATATGAGGCTTACGAGGAAACTGCCCGAGATGTCACCTCTCGTTTTAATTCATTCATATCCCATCAGATCGAGTATACTGGGGTAGTAAAAACCTTAAAAGGACTTTTTCCCATGGCTTTGGCTTCAAAGGTTATAGACATCTTTCTGTTTTTCTGCTATATATGATCCAAAATATTGAAAATGCACAGTGCTGAGCATCATGTCGTCCTGTTGAGCAGTACGGTATGTAAGTACATAGTGCTCGACATTATGAAACTTATTAATTAGATTACGATTCAGTCCGAAAACCCTTTCTGACTTTGAGCGTGGGCTGAAAGTCTGCGACGAAGAATCAGTGGGCCGAAAGTCATGTAAGCCCTATAAGAATTTATTTTTGAGATTTACTGAATTTTTCCAAGTGACGGATTGATCTAATAATAGCATATAGTATGTTTTGACTGTATTCTAAAATAGTCATAGTCCTCAAAAATCAGGTCTAATCCTCAGCTTGTTCTTCGCATTAAGTGTTGTTCTCACAATCCCCTTACTATTAGTTGCCATGTGTCAAATCCATCCGGTTTTATGATAAGATGTAGAACAGGATTCCTAAAACAATTCCAAAAGATCTTAAAAATCCATTTCAGATAGCTGTTGCGAAAGAGATTCATTTTTACACTAATTTTGTCGTAGACTTTTTTTAAACATATGTTTGTCACAGTCTATGATGAACGAAAATAAGTACTGCTAAGTTGTCTGCCAAGGCGTGTATCAAAAGAGATTTGTAAAAATGTCTGTTACGATCCATACTGCAATGAGAAAGAAAGTTGTTAAAGTATCTGTTATATTTTCATGATAATGTCTATCACTGTCTTTGCGGAAGTGTTTCATAAAACCTTTGTTGCAGTTTACCAACTTAACTTGTAACCAAAACTTTTTACTACGGTTTTTATGTAAATAACGTTCGATGGAAGATTTACGAAAACCTTTAAAAATGACAAAGGAATTACATTATTTTAAGATTATCACAGCATTCTGCAATATAAATTATTAAACAGACCGTAAATAATAAGACAATGATTTTGTTTTTATGCGTTTCAGATTTAATATTTTGATGAAATGATCATTTTATTTCTATTAACATTAATCGGGACAAATGTTATCGAGAGTAGTCACTTTAATGGTGGTACTATAAACTGGGCACCAGCATATCCTAATTCTTCTTCTTCATCAATTGTGATTACTGTTACACAATTTTATTCGTGGCAGTATCCGACTATAAGTTGTTTGACAGATGTACCTACATCAACTAATTGGATTTTATATCCCAGTGTTACTTTAACTTGTGTTGCTAATTGTTCTACCCAAGGTAGCTATTCCAGTAATACAATTAGTATTTTAACTGATTGTACTTCATACAGCGCATCATTGGGAATTTTATCAAGTCAACGATCTGTTAATATAACACTCAATGAAAGTACATATTTTTGGATCGCTTATCGAGATGTTTCTTGGAGACCTTTGGCGAATGCTGCAACAAGTGTTTTTCCTGGATGGTCAATTGTATCTTTGATTAACCTTCAAAGACGTCCCGATGGTTTAATTAACACTCCACCAGTGTCGCAGGTAACTTCTCCTCAATATGTTATTGTCAACAATACAGCTACAATCGAAATACCTGTGACAGATGTTGACGTAGGTGATGATATACGTTGTCGATGGTCCTCAAAAAACAGGTACTGTATAAAAACATGAATTAATAACTTTCAATAT